AATTCTTGGAAGAATTTTGTGAGATTGGTTTTCTTTCTTTTTTAAATATTTGGGAAAATTTTCCAATGAAGCTATCTGGGACTGGGAATTTTTTTTGTTATTGTTTTTGCTTTGTTTTGTTTGAGGGTAGAGTTTCAACAATAAATTACATATATCTTATAGATATAGAAGTGTTCAGGTATATTATTTTTTGTGGTCAAATTTAGCAAGTTGTATTTATCAAGGAATTTGTTTATTGTATCTATATCTTTGTACACAGAAATGTGTTAAATCTTTATGACTGTAAATTTATCTACTTTTTATTTTAATCCTATTAATTTTTGCTTATATATTTTGAAACTCTACTATTGGGTACATTAACATTTAAATTGTTGTAACTTATTGATTAATGTACCCATTGGCCTTATGAAATGTTGGTCATTATCTCTAGTAATGTTTTTGTCTTTAAAAATGTACTTTGTATTGCATTAGTACTGTCACGACAACTTTTTTTGGTTAGTCTGTACATGGTATGTCTTTTTTCTTTTTGGAAACTAAGTCCTTGTATTTAAAGTGTTCATTTTGTAAACAGCATATAGCTATTGGGGTTTTTCAATCTACTCTAAAAATGTTGTCTTTTAATAGAAGTATCTAGCCTATTTATGTTTAATGTAATTATTGATGTTCACATTTATTTACACAATTACTTTTTGTTCCATTTAACACATTTATGCTCCTTTTTTCTTTCTTGCCTTATTTTTTGATTAATCAAAAAAATTTATTATTCTATTACTTTCCTCCCAATAAGTGGTTAGTGATATGGTTTGGCTCTGTGTCCCCATCCAAATCTCATCTTGAATTGTAATCCCCACATGCTGAGGGAGGGTCCTGGTAGGAGGTGATTGGATCATGGAGGCAGTTTCCTCCATGTTGTTCTTGTGACAGTGAGGGAATTCTCATGAGATCTGATGGTTTAAAACTGGCAGTTGCCCTTGCATACACTCTCTCTCTCTCTCCTGCTGCCATGTAAAACATGGCTCACTTCCCCTTCACCTTCCACCATGGTTGTAAGTTTCCTGAGGTTTCTCCAGCCATGTGGAACAGTAAGTAGTTTTTAAATTCTTGGAAGAATTTTGTGAGATTGGTTTTCTTTCTTTTTTAAATATTTGGGAAAATTTTCCAATGAAGCTATCTGGGACTGGGAATTTTTTTCTTATTGTTTTTGCTTTGTTTTGTTTGAGGATAGACTTTCAACAATAAATTACATATCTTTTATAGATATAGAAGTATTCAGGTATATTATTTTTGGTGGTCAAATTTGGCAAGTTGTATTTATCAAGGAATTTGTTTATTGTATCTATATCTTTGTACATAGAAATGTGTTAAATCTTTATGACTGTAAATTTATCTACTTTTTATTTTAATCTTATTAATTTTTGCTTATATATTTTGGAACTCTACTATTGGGTACATTAACATTTAAATTGTTGTAACTTATTGATTAATGTACCCATTGGCCTTATGAAATGTTGGTCATTATCTCTAGCAATGTTTTTGTCTTTAAAAATGTACTTTGTATTGCATTAGCACTGTCATGACAACTTTTTTTGGTTAGTCTGTACATGGTATGTCTTTTTTCTTTTTGGAACCTAAGTCCTTGTATTTAAAGTGTTCATTTTGTCAACAGCATATAGCTATTGGGGTTTTTCAATCTACTCTAAAAATGTTGTCTTTTAATAGAAGTATCTAGCCTATTTATGTTTAATGTAATTATTGA